TATAGATAGAAAACAGATTTAATCCTCAAGCAGGAGGTAAGCGACAATATGGTAGCCCGTGTGTCAGTGTTGGAGCAACGAGAACAACATCCAAATTTGATAGCCACGCAGTCATAAAGAAAATGGAATCTGTAATTTAAAACTGATGGAAGAAATAATAATGTTTATTTAAAAATGATACATTTTAGGACAGTCATGTATAAAACCCCGCTCCCTCCCAGGACGCCGCATGCCCCATACAGATGACTGATTGTACCCCAGTCTATAACCAGTCTTCTCTGACCGATCTAATTTAGCAACACTTATAAAAAGCCGATCCTCGCAATGGTGTTATCTCTCAAAATAAGGTCTCTCTTTTGAAAACACTAATGTGTTTGATAAGGCTTGTTTTCACTCTGATGTGGGTTGTGGGGTGAGTTTAGTCTAGATACACCCAACTAATGTTGATGGCAAGATGGCCGACTGTGACATCAAGCCAAGTGTCTATAAATGAAATGAACTCAAATGTGAACCACTGTCACGGTTGCTCCGGGGACGGTATAATAAGCCATTTAATGAATATTACCAAACCCTTTTCGGTCTCGTTGTGAATTCTGTTGTCTTACAGAATGTGTACCAGATGCAGAATCCACAGCTTAGTAAAATAATTATTATTCGTTATGGAGCTCCTAAATTATTCATTATTCCACACAGTGTGAATGAAGGCATGTGCTGCTAACATATACGTCACCACAGCTAACATAAGTGTGTTTATTGACTTGGGTAACGGATGCACCGAGCCAATATCTGCCAAATAGTACATATCTTTTTAACACCGAGTCTCTTTTTCTGAGAGAAAACATATTAAATGTTTTATTTCAATTAAGTATTTATCAAAATAGATTCCTTGTAGAATGATAACCCCAGGACAAATTGGGTCCTCAAGTTAATAGATATATTGTTTGTTTGTTTGTTTGTTTGTTGTTTAACGCCGCACCTAGCAATATTCCAGCTATATGACGGCAGTTTCTAAATAATCGACAATAATCAGACAATCCAATCATGACGCCATGAGCATCGATCTACGCAATTGGGATACGATGATCGAACAACGACAAGCATGGGTTCCTGAAGACCAACTCTAACCCAGATCTTCACGAGTATACATGATACATAAAGGGTCTTACATATAACATCGTAGGAAGGTAACACTGGAACCATTTATCTTCTCTAAATAGACAGCAACAAACAGTGACCTCGATCGCCGGTACAGTTTTCTGGACACTCTTTAAGACGATGGAAATGGCATGGTCCCTGTTGACTCCACATCAGCAAACTCGTCTAACAACATCCTGCTTGTCTCGAACTACAGGTAATACGACATGCATTCCTTGTTACCGAGGACATCGAGTTAAAGAGGTTCCACTATAAAGTGAAACCCGGATAATCCTCACAGTACCGTTCACAGAAATCATCTGGATTACGAAAGTGTCGGGATTGACTAATCACGGACAAGGAGTAACATCCTTTCATGATACGGGCTATAGTAAACGGTTTTCACCGGAATAATGAGGCTTCGCTAATGCATATTTCATTTCTTCAAACAGGGCAATTTGTTTCTTGTAGAGTATGCATTGTTATCGTGATGCCGTTTTAGTGGAGTAACGTTTTCTATACTCGTATTCACATACACGAATTATGACAGAGACACGTCGTCTATTCAAACCATCAAGTCATTTCAATGTATACATATTGTTGATACGATCCCTTCACCGCCCATGTACAGTTATCACGTGACCTGGGCCTTTTCTCACTTTCTTATCACCAAGCAAGTATATAAAATAAAACCGGCTGCCATTTAAGTGTGACATTAAAAATGATTACGATAAATTACTTCGAAAGGATTATTTCTTTTCTCGACGAAACGGAGAAATGATGAGTGCATGGTTAGGTACTGGTCTCAGTTGTATGTGGTAACAGTACCGTTTTATGCCGTCTGCTGTGCTTCTCTGCAAAGACAGATATCATATATTTCATACTTTTAATCAATATTCGTCGAGCACACAATCGCAGCCGAGCATTTCGGTCGTGTGGCAGTGCCTTTGAGCTGTGACGAGATCAGATCAGTGTCAGCTAAAACACCACCAACCATCACGTGATGCACGGAAAGCACGTGCCAAAGATCAATTGTAGTACTGTTTGCAATAGAACTACATGCATGTTACCGTCATATAGCTGGAATATTGCTGAGTGCGGCGTTAAACAACAACAACAACAACAACAACAACAACACACACACACACACACACACACACACACACATGCATGTTGATGTACTTCGCGTGGTCATATGAAGATGTAGCACCGGACAGCATTCTTAACGAGTGACAGAGGGTTGGTTGATATCACAATAATACTTTATCATATGCCAAACACGGTAAAACACGCGAATAATTCTTCACCGCTTGATTTTCGCTAAATCAACAACACGTCTTTAAAGAATGGTACTAAAGTCAGGGCTGCATGTGACGTAATCACATAACAGACAGGGAGAGCACTGAATCAGTTAAACTGACTGGACCGTGCTAAATTGTTACTGAGATGGGAAAGTAGCTACGAACACTGGCAGAAACGCATTCATAATAATCTTTAGGACAACTTTACGTTGATGAGCTCTCCAACTTCCAATCACATCTAAATGCAGGAGATATGGATTTGTGCTTGATCTGTTTATGTGACGTGCATGCAGATTAACAGGCGATGTTAAGTTCATAAATACATGTCTTGCTTTGTAGAGGAGAACACAGTCACAGGCCAAGTAGACCACCTTGCTCCATTTTATCTATCATAGAGAGGGAGAAAGAGTATTGTTTGCGGTACAGGGAGGGGCTTCCTGACTCGCGGGCATTCGGTGTTGTTGTTTTTTAAAAAGGGTGATGCATGTGGGAACAAAACGTCAGATTCCATCATGTTCTAGTGGAGAATTAGGCACATATGATTGGTACAATATTTGTCAATGGTTTTCAACATTTCGGATCAGGTGGGTAAATATATTTAAATAAAACTGCACAAATTTAATCATATTACGGCTGATTTACATACACATGTCAGGTTTCGAGCACGACAGTTGCCAGGGTGTGGCCCGGCTACACGGTTGTGATCAGGTTCAACTGGTCAGCAGCACGACAGTTGACAGGGTGTGGCCCGGCTACACGGTTGTGATCAGGTTCAACTGGTCAGCAGCACGACAGTTGACAGGGTGTGGCCCGGCTACACGGTTGTGATCAGGTTCAACTGGTCAGCAGCACGACAGTTGACAGGGTGTGACAGTATTTTTAATTTCAAATTATTATATATTTATTTAAAGCACATAGCCAGTGGCGCAACATTATTTGTAGCATAACAACAGTAACGTTACTCCTGCGTCACACACTTTCTGAGAGTAAGATTTGTTTCTCGCAGTTTGAAAAATCGGCCATTGTCATTGATTTTTTAGCCATACGTATGTACTTGATAACGTTATGGGTTAAAGGGGTTTAGTTGGCGGTCGCGTGAACAACATTTGACAGTGCACACAATAATATTTAAACATTTAAGATTTGACGTTTTCAGTAATAAATGTCCAATTCTATTTCATCGGCAGAAAGACATGCAAATGAACAGTGCAGGCTATGATATTAACAACAGTCGGGGAACTGTCATCGAAAACCACTGTCACGTACTGTATACGTCCTGTGTGAAACGTTACTCTCTAACACGCAAAGACAATTCATTCCACATTCAGACATTCTGCTTTCGACTGAAACTAAGTAATTCTAAGGAGCTACATTCCTGCAAGTGCCCATGGAATCCCTGGTTAAACTACAATCTGTGACAGGCGGACACTAACATAGCCAGTGCCGAACATCGTCCACCAAATATTCCAGCTTGAACCTAACAATGCTATCTTAATGAGGAAAGCTTGCCAACCTATCCCCTCCCTTCGGTGATGTAAGGCCATGTGGAGCGACGCTTTCCAAGGCAACAAAACAGGTTTTAACTGCTTCGTGCACAACCGTAAAAGAACTGAATCGGATCATTTATTTATTTATTTATTTATTTATTTATTTATTTATTTGTAGTAGCATCAGCAGTAGTAGTAGTGGTAGTAACAGTCGTAGTAGTAGTAGTAGTAGTAGTAGCAGCAGTAGTGGTAGTCGCAGCAGCAGTTGTAGTAGTAGTAGTAGCTGTGTTGTTGTTGACTTATGCATAACCTGGCAAGGGTTTGAATAGGATTATTGTCATTGTTGCTCTTGTTTTGTTCAAATTATTATCACAATTTCCATGACAATAAAATGATATCCTTAAAAACAAGATTAGGGAAATAATTCACTGAAACATGGACAGTGCTCGTGGGATAAACACACAATGTCTTTCTGTCACTAGTCAGTGATCAGCTGTTTGGCGGCCGGGTGCGGAGACGTTCTCCGTTAGACATCCCTCATCCCTATAACCTGGTGATCTACCATTCCCCGGCAGCACTATGTCAGGTGAAGCCACTCATCATGTATGTACAACCTTCACATGAGTGGGTTGTTCTATTATGTTGTGAAGTTTCGATTCAGATACTATCACCTGTATCAAGATTGGCATAACCTTACCCAACGTTTACTATGACAATGATACAGTAGACTTCAAGTCAAGTATACACTCAGACGAAACGTTAATATTATATATGTGTGTATGTGTGGCCATACGTTAATATCACCTAGACAAATGAACTCGTTCATTTCACTATGTTTGAAAACTCAGTTCAATTTCAACTTAATGACTTTAAACGTTTTAGTTTCAAACTGGTTTGAGGAAAATACGTTTACACATATCCATTGACATAGAGTGACAACCATATCACCATTAGCGTGAGGTGCACGTACCTAAAAGACAATAAGCCCATATATATACATTGACTTGGCTTCCGCCATGAAACGAACATACTGGCGCGTGACTAAGTCATTATAATATGTGCAAGGTGAAGCACCTACCTTAAACTGTGCAGGGATTGTGTGGTAGGCCCGACACAATCCTACAGCTCGGTGTCCAGTGATCCAGCTGAGCAACACTGTTGTGGAACACGATAACAGAAGTGTGGGGTCTTCTTTCCCAGTATTCTCAGCCACCGTTGTACATTGCCGGATACAATCAGTTGTACAATTGTATTAAGCGGAAAACTTTCACTTACAAGTGTCCACGGATGCGCAAGTTGTCTTGGGGTAGATCGTCTTTGTATTTTAGTGTCCACCCTCTTTAAACAAAAACTTCCCTGTCGAACTCGGTAGTCAACCAAGTGAGATGTTTAAATTAATAAGGGAATACCATTAACGTGCAGCATCCCAGGCTCGACTACACTACAGCTGGACGTCCACTGAAGAAACGCAATGACTCCGTATTCGAATCGTACCTACCGAAAACGTCTTTAAGAACAGCTGTCTCTCGGGGAACTAGTTAGCATACACATTTGTCACGTGCGTCTGATCCTTTAGTAAATTGTGGTATTCCTATATTTAGCTTAATTTTCTTCATTTTTAGCGCAGTTTCTCATCTTGCCAACTTGACAGTTGTGGCTGCAGGGTAGATGTGCCTTGGAAAGGTAGCCCTGCCTTCCCTGGATTCAAAACCTCGGCGAACCCTGCTCTGGGGTATCTTGTAGGTTCGGAGTAGTCACGGCTTTGATAATAGACCGGATTTCTGAATGAACCCACTATCGCGTGGTTCAACGAGCCCTTCAGCTACACGTGTATACAGCACGAGTTTTATAACGGCATGATTCTGTGACCATCAACGTTGATAGTGGCACTTGTCCTGAATGTCAATGTGTTGTTGTACAGGCCATTCCGTCGTCGACATTTGAAATGCCCCCAAGTCCGATTTTAAACAAGGTGAACCTTACCCTAGACTTCATAATTGTGTTGTTTACATCTGACCAGTTTAATTTCTTAAACTAACGACATTATATGCCGTTTTAATTTCAGTCTCAATCCCCTGTAGTCCGTCCGCCCATTTTATAACGCCATGTTTGGCTGTAAGCCCATCTGGCAGCGTCGGGCTCTCCCTGGTTCAATCCTTCGTGGATCAGTCAGATTCCCCGTGGGATGAGCGGCTTATTCCCCGTGGGGTGGGGAAAGGGGGAGATTTACTGTACAACTTCTCAAACTCGGCCACGCCACGTCCAAGTTTTATCCGGGACTGGAATTACTCGCTCTAAATTAATATCAATTACAGTGTAATTAAAACCAAGGTCTCCGTATCGCGGCCAAGAGCTGGTTAGCTTATATCTAGGACGGAGTGGACTGGGGAAACTCACTCTGTCCATATCGCCAAAGTGAAGATAACTTTAACACTCACAGGCCGAGGAAATACCAGGCCACGCGCATGTTGGTTACAACCGGGGTAGAGTTACCTTGGCAACATGTCGGAGATTCTCACTGCCCATGTAGTTATGCAATACAAGCTATATCAAAAGAACTTACATGTCAAATTGTACAATATTTCTGAGATTATTGCACGCTTGTTTCTTTACTATATCAAAAGAGCAAATCTGGTATTGGTGTATCAGTTCAGTTGATGACGTTTTCAGAAGAAAAGAACAACATATTCCTTTATCATTGCTGGTCAGTGGGTATCTGTCACACTGACATATCCAACAGCATTGAACTAGTGTCCTGCAGGAGAAGACGAGTCAAGTAATCTATCTGCAATATTTGTATAACTAACCCAGAAAACTCCTCGTTTATAAAGTAAGCTGCAACTAATATTTAGGTACGCGGCCAAGTGTTTGAGACAGCGTAGCTAGATGTGTACGCCCGGATCCCCTGGGTTTAGATATTTAAAATACCCATCACAAACACCAACCAGGGCCATCACGAGACACACCAACAGATGAGCATGTAGACCAACACCAATGACCTTCACATGCTGTCCAAAATACATGAGTCAACAATACCATTTGTATGTATTTATCAATGGATATGACAAGTCTCGACATTTGGCTGTGCCTAATTAAAAAGGTTAATGAATTCATTTCATGAGATAGCGACATTCATTCTCGCGTAATGTGATCGAAAGTAATCTAATCTCTGCACTTTACAAACGTTGAGAAACGGGGGTGGTGTCATAAATGGTAGGGCATTTTACTGATCCTGCATGTAATGTAAGCGTTCATGTTTTTAAAGCGTTAGATAACCTTATATAACTGCATGTGTCGACAATGGCGGCGAGGTGTCGAATTGGGACACCAACTGATGGCCTGCCATTATATGATAGCTGGTCATTGGGACAAAGACATTCAGGTGACAGATGGATATCTGCGTGCGTCAGCAGTTTCTTCTACGTTCATACAGACATCCGCCTGTTGTTCTTTTTCTTTATTATTATTATTTATTCATTGCTCACATATGACGTCGCAAATTCTTTTTGTTGATCTAATGATTAACAATATTTCGACTTCCTTTATTCGCTCATTCAAAGAACGTTCTTTTCCTTCTCTACTTAATCATATGGTTGATACTTTCAGTTAAAACTGTCTTGTTTATTACCCATTCATTCATTCATTCATTCATTCATTCATTCATTCATACATACATTTGCAATGACAATACATCGATAAACATTTTACTGGAAGGAATTTCTAATTTATAAATGTCCGACAGATTACGTTCCTTGTGTACTAGTAGATGGAACCAGTCGCAGAATTAAATAGTACGGGCTCGCTGCATTTTCATGTAAGTCCCATTTAAAGTTGATATCCTGTGAAATATATTTATTGACGATGTTAAAAGAAGTCAGGTTATCTCTATGACGTTTGTTGCTTCGAAGATGATGTGCAAGACTGAATATGTGTTCAATGGCATCGCGTACACTTCTCTGTACTGTACTGTACGCCATTCATCAAGCACCTGATCGAATGTACTGTCATCGTCATTAACCTAACACCAGATCTTATATAACTGCCATCGTTATTTTACGGTGAACTATATTAGATAATATTTTGTTATGTCCTTGAAGAACTGCTTCCTGGTTGGTCAGTCAAGGCTTTAAATCTCATTAATATAACATGTCCCTGGCATGCTTGTTTTAAAACATCAATGCATACTTATATGTATCTGCAACCTCTCTGATCTTTCTCACACTGGAAGGGCAGTGGAAAGCCAAAACTGACAACACTGTCTATCATCGGCAGTCCAGGCTATTTGTCCATTTTGTCAGTCAATGTTTCACCATCACCGCTTCTATCTGCGATCCACATAGCCCAGAAACACTCTCAGACATGGAAATGGAAGCCAACACTTAGCAGTAAATTAACGCTGATAGTTGATAACGAAGGGCTTGGTTGTGTTCATGCAGGTGTGTGTTTTTATTAATTTTTAATAGTTGTATGGTGACCGAGAGGGCACATCGTGTGTGTGTGTGTGTGTGTGTGTGTGTGTCTCCACATCTAAGTTTAGGAACAAGTTTAACTAATGACACTTCAAGCCCATAGTTAGTACAGATAACATCTGCAAGAAAACACTCCACAAAACGTCACACAGGCCGCTCTCTTACTCCCGAACCTACAGTCCGTTACTCACTCCGCCGGCTTCCTTGCCAGGCAATCAACATCGTTCTCTTCAATTGTGCTTATCTACATTGTGTATTGAAAGTATTATAATGAAAGTGAATAATAATTGATTTAGAAATGTCGCACACATGATTCAACAACCCTTTCTGCATCTTAAATCCTTCGTTATGTCTACACGCATGTACATGTTTTGCACAGAATGGCCGAAAATTCCCTACCCACCTGAAATCTTTCTCTAAGATTCTTACGTACGGGGGTATTAGTTCATTAAATGGGAAATACGTGCATTGTCAATTTGAATTTATCGTTTGGTTCAACGTGAAATGTGTTACATACAGGGAATTTATGATTTATGAAACATGAAAGTATATTCTTTTGAGACGCTTTGAATTCCAGCATGAATTATTTGTATTAGACAGAAATGAGTGGGGGTCACTTCTTGCAATAAAGCATCCCTAGAGGGAGTTTACGTTCGCTTCAGTGACTAGTAAACAAATACCAGGTAACGTTAACTTTCCTGAAATGCTGTGTGCCTCGTTCTGTTTATATATACTCAATCGAAAAATAAGGTACACACTGGTAAAACTGAAATATTTGATTACCGTGTGATGTCTTATATTTCCTGACAGAACAGAGCATTTACCATGCGCGTGGCAGTCGTGTGTTGCATGCATGTGTACGACCCGGAGTCGAAAAAGGAAATCAAAATTCAATCACATGATTTTCATGGAAGATTTGTAGATTGCTGAAAGGATGTATCAAATAGCTGGACTCCTGAATCCCACCAAGGTGGGGAATTACTCCCTCCCATTGTTACTAGCAGTTCATACATAGCTGGAGCGCAAATGGCAGATGGCAAGTTGCCCTTAATCTTGGTGCCAGGCTGCATTTACATTAAGTGTAGCGCCCGCAACCCTTAATGCCATGGTATTGGGATAGTGACACAAATGAGGTTACGTTGTAGAGTATGGTAAGACGCACCTTTATACTACAGTAGGTTTGATAGAAATCGGTAAAAGAATCAGGAGTCATAACCGCTTGTATGAAACCTGCACATATATAGCAACAAGGTGGTCGTAGCCCGACAACTGACGAGTATTATGCACATCTGGACAAAGTAACGATCAATTAACCTGCAAAGTTTCATGACTGTCGATAATATTTTTTTACAGAAAAAAATTTCCTTTTGAAAGTTAACTTGTATAAAAATGAATAATCTTAATCGCCCCCCTGTAAAAAAAGTGAACTTCGGCCTTGATAGTAACAATAACTCTAACGATTACAACAGGGCGTGCAGCATTTCGGCTTGGAGCCCTAATAGTCGTTATAATTCAGAAAATAGTCTAAGCGAGCATGATGGCTGAATCCTCTTTACTGAGACATATCCGTAATGGTTTTCATGTTTTGATGCCATTGCGTTTAGCTAATGACGCCATGACAGATATTCGTTTCACTTTCCACATCAGGTATTCAAGATGGTGTGGCTGTACGTTGTAGCTGCGGTCGTGGTGGTTTTCTTTCTCCTGAAAGAGTTGATGAGACTTCCAACTGTCGGCAAATATGGGGAGCGTTATGTGTTCATCACCGGCTGCGACACGGGCTTTGGGAACCAGCTGGACAAACGACTGGACTCTCTCGGCTTCAACGTGTTTGCAGCATGATTCTCTGAAAGAGGAGCGGACGAACTGAGGAAAGTGTCGTCTGCCAGACTGAAGACATTGTCGCTGGAGGTGTCCAAACCTGACAGCACGAGCCAACGACCCACTCGGGATCATTTTCAGGCATGACCGTTATCGTGCGACCAAGACCAATTTTGATGTGCTGGAAAAAAATAGGAAACCTGTCAGTCTACCCTTGGTTCAACAAGGAGAGAAATCCCTTCACAGCGGAAGTACTGTAAATAATGTGTTTAGAATGTACACATACACGATAAGTTTAGGAATGTGTCTAAATCTTAGTGAGTGAGTATGGTTTTATCAATATTCCAGCAATATCACGGTGGGGGACACCAGAAATAGGCTTCACACTTTGTACCCATGTCGGGAATCGAACCCGGGTCATCGGCGTGACGAGTGAACGCTTTCACCACTAGGCTACCCGACAGCCCGTTTAAATCTAAAAGGAAATGTGTATTTTGTATCCATCACGATTAGGGTCTAGCCTAAACACAACACATCCCCATAATCAAACATGTTTACCACAAAATGCATACCATTGTGTATTATCATGATAATTCCGCCGAGATTTTAAAAGTTTGGTGTTCGTTAATGTGTTGCTGCTGTGGAACTAATAGTATTCTATCATACAGGAAACAGAAGCTACCAATGATCAGTATACCTGATTACTATATACCTCAGACCCTAAACCTTTTGTTAAGTGACCCCCATACCTCAATATCCCCATTAAACGCTTAAAACAACAACGAAAAAACAACATTTAGAACGAAGCTTAAAGGTCGGGTTGACAAAAACGGCACCGCGTCAAGAACGCCAAAAATTTGCCTGGCAAAGACGGAACGAAATTGGCTAAAACAGCAGCATACATGTTATTATTTTGTCATCATGAGTATACAAACACTGTTTTACCATTCGTGAAACATTTATATAAACAAAAATCAACCCACATCTCTTTAGTCATGTATTCATTCAACATAGACACTATTCTTCAATTCATTCCAATAAGTTTTAATTAATTCCTCTGATACATTCATTTTTGTTCCTAAGACAAGGGTGGCCTAGTCGTTTAAGGAGTTGCGTCCCTTGGGCACTCCTGAAACCTATTATGTGGGTTCGAATCCCGGTTCGCCCTGATTATGTTTCTAGGTTTGTCAGCGCCATGCTCGTGCTCGTGGCTTTCACCGAAGTGGTAAACGTCTGAGACCTGCAGCACGTCGGGCTTTCCTCCCATATGAAACTGACGCTCATGTTTGTTCAGCCTTGATAGAAGTGTGATTACACAATCGATTATGAAATTGTTATCATCAGTGCCGTTAATGAAAGATATATTTATGAATATGAACAGATGGCGGAAAAACAAGAGTGTTGAATATTTTTACACCTATACAGCCACCACTATTCAAAGTAAGAAAAGAATGCGGTTATGAATGTCTAAGGGAACTTGTCAAATTTTGGAAGTATCAAAAACCACTTGTGCCTTGATGTGCAATACACGTATTTGATATTCCAAGACATCTGTGTGTGCGCATATAACCATAAAATGCTAAAAGTTATGCACGAGGGCTGTGAAGTATATGTGGCAATAGTAGCCTATGACAGACATTGGTTTGACGAAAGCGCTTCTGGTTTTTGATATCCCCCTTTGCCGCAATGTTAAAGGGAGGTAATTCCCATGAAGCGGAAGTCGAAAAAGAAAACAATATGGCGGGAATAAGATGCCTGGTTAAAGTTTACTTGTGATAAATATGTCACTGTGGTGATCGTTAATAACAAGCGTGTGTTGTATATTACAAGGAATTTAGGACAAATAGGTAACTCATTCATGGACACAAATTATATTTGGACATGACATTGTCAAATAATGTGTAGTTGCTTGTTTCTTTCTCGTCAAGACGGTACATGGGGTATATGGGGTGTCTATCAGCACGAATGAAGTTTTACGCACGGATACAACAAACCGGTGTTGATTTGTACAGGCAGAGAATTTGATACTGGAAGAATAACTACAGTTATTATACGAGAATACAAGTTTGTTATACTAACAACAAACAGACAGTCAGCTCTCAAATTCTTACATCACTGAACTTGATTGAAGTAATTACTGCGTTCCTAAACAGGACCTAGTCGTGACTTATTTTCCATTTTTAGTTGAGTGAGTTGGGCTTAACACCTCTTTGAACAGCATTGCAGTTACATCACAGCGTCACATCCTCTTCTAAGAAACCACAGGACAGGACAAATGAGGCTGACATCCTAAGTTACTGTCTGACATTTATTGGGTCAATAGTATGCTAGCTATGATTACATCACTTCAGACTTTTCTTCCACCTAAAATACCTGAAATGTTTTTCAAACTATGTTAACCCATCTCAACCACACAGACAATGTTTATAGACTATAGAGTTGCATTGTTCATGGTATCCATATGTTATCTCATTTACAGTTACAACCAATTTGAATATGAGTGGCAAAGCTTCAGCCCCGTCCATCCAGAAGTTGGATGAAGTTGTTGTGAACAGAATAGCAGCAGGAGAGGTGATTCAGAGGCCGGCGAACGCCTTGAAGGAAATGATCGAGAACTGGTACATTCATAGGGTTCATAGGGTTGTAATGCTATAAGGGTGTGTACTTACATGTATATGTGTGAAGGATTATCATAAAATAATAAACTATGTTTGAGCATATACCATGTATTCAGCGCAGTACTTGTTTTAAAGGGATCATCTGTGTTCCCATAGTTTAGCTCAACAACCCATTCAAGACATTTGACACTTACCTTACCTAACACTGAAGAATATACAAACAATATGTGTTTGCGCTTGTCATAGTAGAATGCATGTTTGGTTCTAAAGTCAATTGAGTATGGTTAAATCCATAGGTAACCTAGCTCTACACTGAAAACAGTATGTTTATATATGCTAAGTAAATATTACCTCATGATGTCATATCAGTCTAGAGTGACATCATGTCTGTCTCACAGCTGTTGGAGTATGCATTGAAAGGTTGGCTCATCCATGTGCTACTGATAATTGCAGATATCATTATGTATGAACAATGTTGATTTAAATAACTGGTATGTGTTTTAAGATTTGGGGTGTTGTCATTGTTCTTGGGAGTTTGACGTATGTCTATTTGATTTCAGTACCTGCAAGACTAAAACATATTTATTTTTGGTGAAAACTGGTATGCAAGTTGTAACTAAATGAAAACCTGATAAAAGAAGAGAATTTGATTTTTTGTTTTTGTCCAGATCCTCCTTTTTATCCTAGTATTGATGCCAAGTCGAGCAACATCCAGGTGACAGTCAAACAGGGGGGTCTGAAGCTGCTGCAGATACAGGACAATGGGACAGGCATCCGCGTAGGTCCACACTGCCAGCAGAAGTATATTATCATCTGTTTATGAAAAGTGTTTATAACATAGGCCACTTTGTGTTTCAAATCTGTTTTAACAATTTAGTTTAAAATTTCATTTACCCGGTAATATTTTTTACAAATTATTTCGGTGAAATCATGTTAGAGTAAACTGCTTGGCAGATCGCACCAACTCGCTATTTTCGGTTTATCTTATGAGACAATTACACGCAATTGTAATCAGTCTTTGTTGCTGGTCTGTCTCCGTCTAACACATTCACAAACACCTTGTCATTTAGTTTGGGTCTGTCTCTTCTGAGACAGTAATTGAGAACACATGCTAAATGGTCATACTTTGATTTGAAAGAAATTTTAAATAAAATGGGCTGATGTGTCATGCCTTATGGATATGTTTATTGAGCGATTTCTACAATCCTATTTTAGATCTTTCTTGTTAATTATTGTCATCAAAATTCATTTTGTCCCTTAGAAAGAAGATATGGAGATTGTTTGTGAACGCTTCACAACCAGCAAGTTGCAGAAGTTTGAGGATCTCCAGTCCATATCAACGTATGGTTTCCGTGGAGAAGCTCTGGCTAGCATCAGTCACGTGGCACATGTCACCATAACAACCAGAACTGCAGATTCTAAATGTGCCTACAGGTATATATAAGTTTAATTTCAACCAGCTAATCTTTTCGTTTTTTTATTTAGGGTAGTCTTTTATGATAAACAAAATGAGGAAAGATAACTGGAGTTTTACTTTACCACTAATCAGGTGAGTGAAAATTAGTGACATTAGTCTAGTGGACCAACCTGTGCGTTGATCTGTAGCAGTGTTCCATTTGGTTCAATTCTTCATTGGTTGATGTAGTTATGTACTCTTCGTTGGTGACTGACTACTTCAGACACTACCTCTGCAGCTGAAGCAAAGATTAATCATTATTACCTGATGCTGGTCCACGGTCACATTTAAGAGCTGAACAACATCTGCCACACCACCACATTTTTTTCAACTCTATTTTTAACACAATGTTAGTCTGTAGCCTAAATGTTGAGGAAAAAAGTATGTAAAATTGTATTCCCTTGCCTTGAAATCTGTCATGGTCTTTAGGGGAAGGGGAAGTCAAAGGGAGATAATTGTATGAGTTATCTGCACTTTGACTGTGTGAGAAAAGCTTGGGGGACTTCAAATGCACGGCCGGTAATGTAATGGTCATTATTTTGCTGATTTTTCAGGTACTAGGCATGTTGACTTGAACACATAGCAAGGTTCACATGTTACCAACTTGTAGAATTTCAAGTTTGAAAGTTATGAGAAAAATGCATTAAAAGTGCATGTCCTCACATCTTACTTGACATGTTCCTTGTATGTTACAGGACAATGAAAACCATGCAGGACAACTCCCAAACATAGTGCTGACAACTGTAGTGTTAGGATGTCCGTGAGGTGAAAGTGCTGTGTGTGTGTTACAGGACATTGGAAACTATGCAGGACAACTCCCAAACATTGTGCTGACAACTGTAGTGTTAGAATGTCCATGTGGTGATAGTGCTGTGTGTATGTTACAGGACAATGAAAACTATGCAGGACAACTCCCAAACATTGTGCTGACAACTGTAGTGTTAGGATGTCCATGTGGTGATAGTGCTGACAACTGTAGTGTCAGGAAGTCCATGTGGTGATAGTGCTGACAACTGTAGTGTCAGGAAGTCCATGTGGTGATAGTGCTGACAACTGTAGTGTCAGGAAGTCCATGTGGTGATAGTGCTGACAACTGTAGTGTCAGGAAGTCCATGTGGTGATAGTGCTGACAACTAGTGTCAGGAAGTCCATGTGGTGATAGTGCTGACAACTGTAGTGTCAGGAAGTCCATGTGGTGATAGTGCTGACAACTGTAGTGTCAGGAAGTCCATGTGGTGATAGTGCTGACAACTAGTGTTAGGATGTCCATGTGGTGATAGTGCTGACAACTGTAGTGTCAGGAAGTCCATGTGGTGATAGTGCTGACAACTGTAGTGTCAGGAAGTCCATGTGGTGATGAGAGCTGACAACTAGTGTCAGGATGTCCATGTGGTGATAGTGCTGACAACTAGTGTCAGGAAGTCCATGTGGTGATAGTGCTGACAACTGTAGTGTCAGGAAGTCCATGTGGTGATAGTGCTGACAACTGTAGTGTCAGGAAGTCCATGTGGTGATAGTGCTGACAACTGTAGTGTCAGGAAGTCCATGTGGTGATAGTGCTGACAACTGTAGTGTCAGGAAGTCCATGTGGTGATAGTGCTGACAACTAGTGTCAGGAAGTCCATGTGGTGATAGTGCTGACAACTGTAGTGTCAGGAAGTCCATGTGGTGATAGTGCTGACAACTGTAGTGTCAGGATGTCCATGTGGTGATAGTGCTGACAACTGTAGTGTCAGGAAGTCCATGTGGTGATAGTGCTGACAACTGTAGTGTCAGGAAGTCCATGTGGTGATAGTGCTGACAACTGTAGTGTCAGGAAGTCCATGTGGTGATAGTGCTGACAACTGTAGTGTCAGGAAGTCCATGTGGTGATAGTGCTGACAACTAGTGTCAGGAAGTCCATGTGGTGATAGTGCTGACAACTAGTGTTAGGAAGTCCATGTGGTGATAGTGCTGACAACTGTAGTGTCAGGAAGTCCATGTGGTGATAGTGCTGACAACTAGTGTCAGGAAGTCCATGTGGTGATAGTGCTGTGTGTGTGTTACAGGGGCTGTTTCCTGGATGGCAAGTTGAAGGAAGCCGTGAAACCCTGCGCTGGCAACCAGGGCACGCAGATCACGGTGAGACCACATCTCTAGGGACACATGACATTGCATTTTAGAAAACATAAACTGACATGGAATTTTTTTATGAATCTTAATCGTTCATGTGGTCTTTGTGATCGTATATATTTTTTTCACTTATCCTGCATTACTCATTACTGCTTACCTTATGACAGAAACGAAGTTGTGCGAGGGATAGGCTGAAGATAAAGTTGTCCCAATCAAGTCTGAAGCCCGACCCTTACACAGCTTGCCACATGACCAAATGGAAGTGATGATGTTTCAGATCTTCATATTCCTGCTTATCACCAGACATGTTGTGTATACGTTTGGTCGCCAACATTTGTCTTTAAACCTAAATCTCTTTTGCGACAGGTAGAATATATGTTTATATAGTTTAATGCTTGTATTTGTGTAAATATATATATTAATTGTATGTGAAGGGACTTATCTTTTTCTTCATGTGTTTGTTCTAATCCACCTTCTTGAATTTGATAACGTGTCTCGTTTTTTCTCGAGGCAGTCGTTTCTTTTTCATTTGCTGGCTTGGTAGTTGATTGTAATATAATTACCTTCAGCCGCTAGTTGGCTTAGAAAGTGGCTCACGCTCGTTATTTTGTAAACAAAATTATGTTTTTTCCGAGTTAACTTTGACACATTTCTCGGTGTTTGCAAGTCATTTTCAAATACAACGTGAAGCTGTTCATGTGTAATTTATCCTTGCACATTGTATTATTTGCCGTGGTAAAAAGTTTGCTAAAGATCCTCACCAACGGTGTCTGGATTGTACTCAAGTTTGTACACCAGATTTGAATGTAACTTTTGCTCCCCTCTCTCCCGGCAAGCTTTAATAAGTGCAGGCAGGTATGATGTAAGCATATCGCTCAGCAGTCACAACAGCACACAAGAAGGATGTCTGACTCACAGGATTCTTCCCTCCAAACAGTCCCCGATCATCACGAATCAGCCCTCTGCTTTGTGTTGGGCTCTACCCAGCGTTCTGGGAACAATCAACTTTTTTTTTTGCCACCTCTGCGTTGTAAGTTTGACACCTGTCTCTACCCTTCAGTCGCTGCTGTCAAGGCGGGACTGAAAATGGCCCTGAGCTCTGCCTCTGCCTAGTCCTCTACCCTTCAGGCGCTGCTGTCCGCTCCTTTGACAGCTCAAAGAGCAGACGCAGGAGCAGCATTCTTTTCGTGGCAGAGGGCGAGACATAGGCAGAGTTCAGAGCTGTTATCAGTCCCGCCGTGGCAAATCCTAGGGCAAGGATAAGAGGGGAAAGCAATGAACCCTGGGACAATCACGATACTGCACCATCTGCCACCTGCCCTTCGACATATCCGCACACTCCATCAGTGGCAAGTGTTGTTGGGGCTGCTCACATCAGCACAGGATTTGACAAGCAGAGGCCGTCTGCACCTATGCCCAATATAGCAGTTCCTGGTGCCATACATCGGCCGTCAGGATCCCTGTGCTGCCATCTCTCTACCATCTCACCTCAGGATGCTTCTCAGTTGGTGGATGGTAGAGCCGAACGTTTTAGGAGGTGTCTCCCTAAACAGAACTAACTCCAAGGATACAGCTGTTTGTTGACGCCTCCCAACATGGTTGGGGTGCACATCTACAGGACCAGACAGTTTCAGGGCCGTGGTCTGGCGCTGAGCAAACATGGCACATCAACAACCCCGAGTGGGAGGCGCTCATTCTGGCAATATCACGTTGACAAGAGCTTCTCCAGAACACTCAACTCATCATCTCCACAGACAACAGCATGGTGGTTTGGTGCCTGTGCAACCAGGGTGAGACACACTCTCACTCCCTGCTTCAACAGACGTTTCAGTCAAGGTGTATTTATAGTCCAGGACATCCTGGCACATGACAAGTGGCACATGTGACAAGTGGCACATGGGACAGATGGCACATGGAACAGCACATGTGACAAGAGGCACATGTCACAGCACATGGGTCAGCACATGTGACAGGTGGCACACGTGACAGTACATGTGACAGGTGGCACATGGGACAGCACATGTGACAGGTGGCACATGGGGCAGCACATGTGACAGGTGGCACATGGGGCAGCACATGTGACAGGTGGCACACGTGACAGTACATGTGACAGGTGGCACATGGGACAGCACATGTGACAGGTGGCACATGGGATAGCACATGTGACTGGTGGCACATGGGACAGCAAATGTGACAGGTGGCACATAGGACAGCACATGTGACAGGTGGCACATAGGACAGCACATGTGACAGGTGGCACTTGTGACCGATGGCACATGTGACAGGTGGCACATGGGACAGCACACGTGACAAGTGGCACATGGGATAGCACATGTGACTGGTGGCACATGGGACAGCAAATGTGACAGGTGGCACATAGGACAGCACATGTGACAGGTGGCACATAGGACAGCACATGTGACAGGTGGCACTTGTGACCGATGGCACATGTGACAGGTGGCACATGGGACAGCACACGTGACAAGTGGCACATGGGATAGCACATGTGACTGGTGGCACATGGGACAGCACATGTGACTGGTGGCACATGGGACAGCACATGAACACATTCAAATTAGAAGTGACCTTTATTAGCATTTTAAGGAATTGATTTAAGAAAATGTCTACTCATTTGTTTGAAAATACCCAATAGATTGGACTGATGGGAGTAACATATATTGAATATCCAAAGAGAATCCCAGTGTGAATTGGTAACATATGAGTGAACACTCAATGGCCCAAACACTTATCTGGATCCCTGATCAAACATATATCTTATGTGCATGTGTCCATCATCACAACTAACCCTGAGATGTGGCAGTGTTCTCTGTGAAGGTGGAGGACTTGTTCTACAACATCGCAACACGACGGAAGGCGCTGCGTAGCCCAGCAGAGGAACATGCCAAGATTGTGGAGGTAGTGAGCAGGTGGGTGAAGATAGGCTGGAGGTTGTGAGCAGGTGGGTGAAGATAGGCTGGAGGTTGTGAGTGAAGATAGGCTGGAGGTTGTGAGCAGGTGGATGAAGATAGGCTGGGGTTGTGAGTGAAGATAGGCTGGAGGTTGTGGATGAAGATAGGCTGGAGGTTGTGAGTGAAGATAGGCTGGAGGTTGTGAGTGAAGATAGGCTGGAGGTTGTGGGTGAAGATAGGCTGGAGGTTGTGAGCAGGTGGGTTAAGATAGGCTGGAGGTTTTGAGCAGATGGGTGAAGATAGGCTGGAGGTTTTGAGCAGATGGGTGAAGATAGGCTGGAGGTTGTGGGTGAAGATAGGCTGGAGGTTGTGAGCAGGTGGGTTAAGATAGGCTGGAGGTTGTGAGCAGGTGGATGAAGATAAGCTGGAGGTTTTGAGCAGGTGGATGAAGATAGGCTGGAGGTTGTGGGCAGGTGGGTGAAGATAGGCTGGAGGTTGTGGGCAGTTGGGTGAAGATAGGCTGGGGGTTTTGAGCAGGTGGGTTAAGATAGGCTGGAGGTTGTGGATGAAGATAGGCTGGAGGTTGTGGGCAGGTGGGTGAAGATAGGCTGGAGGTTTTGAGCAGGTGGATGAAGATAGGCTGGAGGTTGTGGGCAGGTGGGTGAAGATAGGCTGGAGGTTGTGGGCAGGTGGGTGAAGATAGGCTGGGGGTTTTGAGCAGGTGGGTTAAGATAGGCTGGAGGTTGTGGATGAAGATAGGCTGGAGGTTGTGAGCAGGTGGATGAAGATAGGCTGGGAGTTGTGAGTGAAGATAGGCTGGAGGTTGTGGATGAAGATAGGCTGGAGGTTGTGAGTGAAGATAGGCTGGAGGTTGTGAGTGAAGATAGGCTGGAGGTTGTAGGCAGGTGGGTTAAGATAGGCAAGAGGTTGTGAGTGAAGATAGGCTGGAGGTTGTGGGCAGGTGGGTGAAGATAGGCTGGAGGTTGTGGGTGAAGATAGGCTGGAGGTTGTGGGCAGGTGGGTGAAGATAGGCTGGAGGTTGTGAGCAGTTGAGTAAAGATTGGCTGGAGGTTGTGAGTAAAGATTGGCTGGAGGTTGTGAGTAAATATTGGCTGGAGGTTGTGAGTAAAGATTGGCTGGAGGTTGTGAGTAAAGATAGGCTGGAGGTTGTGAGTGGAGATAGGCTGGAGGTTGTGAGTGGAGATAGGCTGGAGGTTGTGGGTGAAGATAGGCTGGAGGTTGTGAGTGAAGATAGGCTGGCGGTTGTGAGTGGAGATAGGCTGGAGGTTGTGAGTGGAGATAGGCTGGAGGTTGTGAGTGGAGATAGGCTGGAGGTTGTGAGTGAAGATAGGCTGGCGGTTGTGAGTGAAGATAGGCTGGAGGTTGTGAGTGAAGATAGGCTGGAGGTTGTGGATGAAGATAGGCTGGAGGTTGTGAGCAGGTGGGTTAAGATAGGCTGGAGGTTGTGAGTAAAGATTGGCTGGAGGTTGTGAGTAAAGATTGGCTGGAGGTTGTGAGTAAAGATAGGCTGGAGGTTGTGGGTGAAGATAGGCTGGAGGTTGTGAGCAGGTGGGTTAAGATTGGCTCGAGGTTGTGAGTACAGATTGGCTGGAGGTTGTTAGTAAAGATTGGCTGGAGGTTGTGGGTGAAGATAGGCTGGAGGTTGTGAGCAGGTGGGTTAAGATTGGCTCGAGGTTGTGAGTACAGATTGGCTGGAGGTTGTGAGTAAAGATTGGCTGGAGGTTGTGAGTAAAGATAGGCTGGAGGTTGTGGGTGAAGATAGGCTGGAGGTTGTGAGCAGGTGGGTTAAGATTGGCTCGAGGTTGTGAGTACAGATTGGCTGGAGGTTGTTAGTAAAGATTGGCTGGAGGTTGTGAGTAAAGATAGGCTGGAGGTTGTGAGTGGAGATAGGCTGGAGATTGTGAGTGGAGATAGGCTGGAGGTTGTGGGTGAAGATAGGCTGGAGGTTGTGAGTGAAGATAGGCTGGAGGTTGTGAGTAAGATAGGCTGGAGGTTGTGAGTGAAGATAGGCTTGAGGTTGTGGATGAAGATAGGCAAGAGGTTGTGAGCAGGTGGGTGAAGATAGGCTGGAGGTTTTGAGCAGGTGGATGAAGATAGGCTGGAGGTTGTGGGCAGGTGGGTGAAGATAGGCTGGAGGTTGTGGGCAGGTGGGTGAAGATAGGCTGGGGGTTTTGAGCAGGTGGGTTAAGATAGACTGGAGGTTGTGGATGAAGATAGGCTGGAGGTTGTGGGCAGGTGGGTGAAGATAGGCTGGAGGTTGTGAGCAGGTGGGTGAAGATAGGCTGGAGGTTGTGGATGAAGATAGGCTGGATGTTGGGGGCAGGTGGGTGAAGATAGGCTGGAGGTTGTGGGCAGGTGGGTGAAGATAGGCTGGAGGTTGTGGGCAGGTGGGTGAAGATAGGCTGGAGGTTGTGGGCAGGTGGGTGAAGATAGGCTGGAGGTTGTGGGCAGGTGGGTGAAGATAGTGGAGCCATGATGAAAGGATTAGTTATCACCTTACCTAATTTTACCCTTACATGATGGACATGCTCTGTGATCTGCCTGGTATCTTCATATCTTCAGTTTATAAGAATGTTCTCAAACTCACTGCTGTCTTCCTCCATTGCAGGTATGCAGTCCACAACAGCAAGATAGGCTTCACTTTGAAAAAGGCAAGTTATTAGAAAAGTGATTTGTGAAATTAATTATCTTTGGTTTTTCGATAGTTTCCATCTCCGACATTTTTTAACCCCACTGCCAGCATTGAATGGTGTATGCAACAGTGGCAAGACTGGATCCACAAGGAGTTGCTTCCCCTGATCTCAACGTTAGAAATTGGCAGTAGTTCTGTAGTCCTTGCCAAATTGCCCAATAGTTAAGGTATCACAAGGACAAGTAGAAAATTGCCCTTTTTAATGATTTTGCTGCATGTTATCATTATAAAGACTAGTTGACTAAAACTGGGGCTGAATGTAACTGGTCTACCCCGGTATATTGCAATATGGCCATCAGTAATACAAGAATCTCTATACAACCCTTGCATGTTGATACAGTCACAGAAGAATTAATATATAATTATATAAGTTATATGTACTTGTAGCATTTGAATGGACTGGGTTCCTATCTAAACCATGTAAACAGCACACACTTCACACTGCTAATATTAACTTTCCACATTGATGATGTACTAGGTTGTCTTGTTTGTCGCATCTCGGGATTGTTGAATGAAGAAGCACCATGTGAACCATCAATAGAAATCCGGTTCGTTAACTGTCGTGCAGATTTCGGTCGATTGCAGGATTTGCAAAGCATGTGCACCGCCAACTCGTCAGCAGATATTTTCCAAATCTTTTCATGTTTTTAATCAAGGTGCTCACATGATTTAATATATTTGTATTTTGCGATGAAAGACACGTTTTATCACAATATATATCTTGATTATTGATCAGATTGTCCTGACCGGGCGCCACCATTTTGTGTGAAGCAAACGCAAGTGATACGAGAGGTGGAATCTGATTGGTCCATAGGCGAGGTTTAGATGGGACATAACTGGTAATAGCCACTGGTGCCCAGTAATTCCAGCCTAGTTCGGCAAGGGTGGAAACTGGACTTTTAAAGTCAGTTAACTCTCTTGCCTCGGGAAGATGCATGTGAACAGAACAACTTTATATAATTTTGGCCCCAATACACATTGCAATACAGTTTATGTGCCAGTGCTCCAGCCCCACCTGTTAGCAGGGAGGTGAAACAATCAGTATCGCAAGTCACTTGTAAAATGATCATGTGGTGCACAGGTGGGGAGATGAACCTTCAGCTGTGACCCGGTTGTTACTGCTGCCAGCCTACCCTCAATATTGATGGTGCAGATCAATCATTCCTTCTTCTCCCTGTCACACAGGTACTATTTGTAGAGGACCTTGGTAAAGGCGGTTAACACGAAAGCAGCCTTACATTGCCCTGCTCAAAGAATTAAATATTGTGCCACCTGGGAAGATATTTCCTTTTCACTGGCAAGAAAACAGCTGACCTGCATATAATGCTCAGTGCCTGAGAACCAGGTGTTTTCAATATTTTGTCATGTTGTGGCTCATAATAGTGCAGAGATGCGCTACAAAACGATTGCCTTGTGGAACGGGGCCTTGCACCTCAAAGTTTACAATCACGTCACAATACCCGATGATGTAATTTGTGGAATTTTGTTGCAAGATCCATCAGCGAAACAATGCAATGTGATGTCAGCCTAGCAACAAGGTTGCTGGGGTCTTCGAGTGTGCATAAGCTCCTCTCAGTGATCTATCAACTCCACACGCAATGTCTTTGAATAAGCCAAGGGATGTTGAGAGCTTTCAATATTTGTTCGTGGAACGCGTTCCAAGAGTACATAAGCACACGTTTTGGTATTACACAATGTGTAATACAGCTGTATGTTTATTAAACGGGTGATCTCTTCACGGGAAGTAATAAAAGCCAGAAACCTATGATTGCGGGTTTGAACCCTGGTTCACCATGAATCTGTTTCTAGCTTTGTCAGTACCATGCCCATGCTCATGGGTTTCACCAAACCTGCGTCACTTCCTGCTTTCCTCCAGATCAAGCTGACACACTTGTATACAAAGAGGTGTTCAACCAAACTCACATACTCACTCATCATAGTGCAGACCCCTTATTGTCAAGAGTAGCCTCCCTTTACTTGTTTAAGTTGTTATTCAACAACATTAGGAATGTTTTACTGCTGATTCAGCTACTCTTGGTAATTGTAGGATTGGTTTTCTTAATCTCTGCCTATCTTCCTGACATGGAAACTATATGGACTGATGGAGTATGTCGCTGACCCAGTCACAAGGCTCTCAAGCTTTCACTGTGCCTGCCCTTAGTAGTACTTACAGGTCAGACAAGTTCCTGACCTGCTGACTTGTCAGTTCCGACACTCACAGAAAGAAACTCCCTTGTATGCTGTGTACCATTCAGCAATATTACTTGACACTGTCACCTGTATTGTGACAATATTACTTGACACTGTCACCTGTATTGAGACAATATTACTTGACACTGTCACCTGTATTGAGACAATATTACTTGACACTGTCACCTGTATTGAGACATTATTACTTGACACTGTCACCTGTATTGAGACAATATTACTTGACACTGTCACCTGTATTGTGACAATATTACTTCACAATGTCATCTGTATTGAGACAATATTACTTGACACTGTCACCTCTATTGTGACAATATTACTTGACACTGCCATCTGTATTGAGACAATATTACTTAACACTATCATCTGTATTTACACAATTTCTGTGATAATATTATTCAGTCATTCAACAAGAACAAAATCACTTCATGCCATATTCTTATTAAACTAGATGCCGATAAGATACAACTCCGCGTGAATAGGGGTGATGAGATTGGTTCAATCTAGGGAGGTGTGATGACAGTTATGCTATACATCAATAACATCCTGCTGGAACGGTGAAAGGATCCTTTGAACAGTGTTTTCCCGTGCTGACTTTAGTGAACATGAACACTTTAACCAGAGGGTAGAAGTCAGGTAGGACTCCAGGATGCAGCAGCAGGATGACAATGAACAAGTTTCATCCCTGTATGTAGGAATGGACAGAAAATAAAGGGATGACAAAATGTGTCTGGTAAGATGCATCAAACAAGAGTATCATTTCCTTCTGATTTGTCCCACCATAAATAGTGAACATTACATCTTTGTGAAGTTTGACATTAAAGTCTACAGGCAGACTCTGTGTGCTACTCAAAATAACTGTGTTACCTCATCATGCAGTGTGAAACAGCATGTAAAGTAATATGTGTCTGGGTGCATGCGTGCATGTGTCTCTAATATGTCACTTCTTACGCATGATATCATGCACTTTCCAATTTAGTTTCGACCAGCAATACTCTTCCTTGGTGACTGTGTTAATGTAACTGATTCTCTGTAGGTACAATATAACTATTGGCATGCTTCTATGTTTTCAGCATGGCGAGAGTATGGCTGATGTACGCACTCCCGTCAACTCTAATCATGTTGACAATATCCGGACAATCTTTGGAGCCTCAGTTGCCAGGTATGATTGTAAATGTAACTAATTTCTCATACAATAATACTGATGATTTGTTGTGATATTGAACAGGTATTCAGATGATTTGATTTTACTAGAACATGTCATAATGTATGGTGTATGTAGTCAACACTCTCTCCATGGCCTGGTGCCTGTGTCCTTTAGTCTACACTCCTGGTGCCTGTGTCCTGTAGTCTACACTCTCTCCATGGCCTGGTGCCTGTGTCCTTTAGTCTACACTCTCTCCATGGTCTAGTGCCTGTGTCCTTTAGTCTGCTCTCTCTCCATGGCCTGGTGCCTGTGTCCTTTAGTCTACACTCTCTCCATGGCCTAGTGCCTGTGTCCTTTAGTCTGCTCTCTCTCCATGGCCTGGTGCCTGTGTCCTTTAGTCTACGCTCTCTCCATGGCCTGGTGCTTGTGTCCTGTAGTCTACACTCTCTCCATGGCCTGGTGCCTGTGCCCTTTAGTCTGCTCTCTCTCCATGGCCTGGTGCCTGTGTCCTGTAGTCTACACTCTCTCCATGGCCTGGTGCCTGTGCCCTTTAGTCTGCACTTTCTCCATGGCCTGGTGCCTGTGTCCTGTAGTCTACACTCTCCATGGCCTGGTGCCTGTGCCCTTTAGTCTGCTCTCTCTCCATGGCCTGGTGCCTGTGTCCTGTAGTCTACACTCTCTCCATGGCCTGGTGCCTGTGTCCTGTAGTCTGCTCTCTCTCCATGGCCTGGTGCCTGTGCCCTTTAGTCTGCTCTCTCTCCATGGCCTGGTGCCTGTGTCCTGTAGTCTACACTCTCTCCATGGCCTGGTGCCTGTGCCCTTTAGTCTGCTCTCTCTCCATGGCCTGGTGCCTGTGTCCTGTAGTCTACACTCTCTCCATGGCCTGGTGCCTGTGTCCTTTAGTCTACACTCTCTCCATGGCCTGGTGCCTGTGCCCTTTAGTCTGCTCTCTCTCCATGGCCTGGTGCCTGTGTCCTGTGGTCTACACTCTCTCCATGGCCTGGTGCCTGTGCCCTTTAGTCTGCTCTCTCTCCATGGCCTGGTGCCTGTGTCCTGTAGTCTGCTCTCTCTCCATGGCCTGGTGCCTGTGTCCTGTAGTCTACACTCTCTCCATGGCCTGGTGCCTGTGTCCTGTAGTCTACACTCCTGGTGCCTGTGTCCTGTAGTCTACACTTTCTCCATGGCCTGGTGCCTGTGTCCTTTAGTCTACACTCTCTCCATGGCCTGGTGCCTGTGCCCTTTAGTTTGCTCTCTCTCCATGGCCTGGTGCCTGTGCCCTTTAGTCTGCTCTCTCTCCATGGCCTGGTGCCTGTGTCCTGTAGTCTACACTCTCTCCATGGCCTGGTGCCTGTGCCTTTTAGTATGCTCTCTCTCCATGGCCTGGTGCCTGTGTCCTTTAGTCTACACTCTCTACATGGCCTGGTGCCTGTGCCCTTAAGTCTGCTCTCTCTCCATGGCCTGGTGCCTGTGTCCTTTAGTCTACACTCTCTCCATGGCCTGGTGCCTGTGTCCTTTAGTCTACACTCTCTCCATGACCTGGTGCCTGTGCCCTTAAGTCTGCTCTCTCTCCATGGCCTGGTGCCTGTGCCCTTTAGTCTGCTCTCTCTCCATGGCCTGGTGCCTGTGTCCTTTAGTCTACACTCTCTCCATGGCCTGGTGCCTGTGTCCTGTAGTCTACACTCTCTCCATGGCCTGGTGCCTGTGCCTTTTAGTATGCTCTCTCTCCATGGCCTGGTGCCTGTGTCCTTTAGTCTACACTCTCTCCATGGCCTGGTGCCTGTGTCCTTTAGTCTGCTCTCTCTCCATGGCCTGGTGCCTGTGTCCTTTAGTCTACACTCTCTCCATAGCCTGGTGCCTGTGTCCTGTAGTCTACACTCCCTCTCCATGGCCTGGTGCCTGTGTCCTTTAGTCTACACTCTCTCCATGGCCTGTGTCTCTTTCCATGGCCTAACTATTGTATAACATGAGGAGGCTGGATTTTATTGATTAAATTTAACTCATTAGATTGAGCTGGATTATCACATTTCTGCGGGTAGGCAAAGGATATTGTACAGCTCTACAAAGTCGATTACATAGCCTGATTGACAGACACTGGCCTACTTATGCTGTGGTAATTTGAAGCCAAAGGAGCCCTCTTTCATCGTAGATACTTCATGTCCTTCATGTTCCATTATGTAGAAGTGTTACAACCCTACTGACTGGGAGGTTTGAGCAGGCAAACCATTGTGTATGTGGGCGCGGGAATATGGGCCATCTGTGCCTCACACTGACACTATAGGAACCCACTGTTTCGTGCAGTCAAACTGCCGAAGGCCAGCTAGATGTGACAATCATCTCTTCCCACTCAGCAAATTCAACAAATTACAATTAGCATGAAATGGTTAACTTTTCAGTGAGTAAATATCCTAAAATATGAAACAGTATTTCCATTTGCATATTTAGCCTTTTGTTTACAATAGTTATTCAGTTGCAGTGAGGCCCCCTGTGTACAGCACGCATTCCGGCCATGTGTATGGAGATATTGTCACGCTCACTGTCACAGTTGTTGTGGCATGTCTCTATAGTTATGTGAAGTAATCTGTGAGTCAAACTCTCATTGGGCCAGATGTCTCTGATTGTATATGATATGAAAATTGGCTTGTGGCAGAGGTGAAATGCAAAGTGATCACTGCACCGAAGTGTGAGGAATACAGATACAGTGATTTGATATGTGTAATGGTGATAATGGTTTATGATGTTCAACAGGGAATATCTTGAGACTAGGCCAATATAGTCAGCCAAGGTGACAACATTTTACGACCAATACTTTCCACTCATGTCAGAGCCAAAAAAAACATGTTCAGCAATTCACTTTCATATTTCTGTCACAAGTATTCGTTGTATATGATTCCATCAGTGTACTATTGCCTGTGAGTATAGTCAAACCATAAAATCAAAATGGATTTATTTGATGACAACAGTGTGTCTGACACACCAGTGTAGATGACACACCATTGTAGCTGAATCAACAATGTAGCTGACACACAATTGTAGCTGACACAACATTGTAGCTGACACAACAATGTAGCTGACACAACTATGTAGCTGACACAACATTGTAGCTGACACAACAATGTAGCTGACACAACATTGTAGCTGACACAACAATGTAGCTGACACAACATTGTAGCTGACACACAATTGTAGCTAACACAACATTGTAGCTGACACAACAATGTAGCTGACAACAATGTGGTTGACACAACAATGTGGTTGACACAACAATGTAGCTGACACATAGCTAACTCAACAATGTAGCTGACACAACAATGTAGCTGTTACAGCAATGTAGCTAACAACAAAGTTGCTGACACAACAATGTAGCTGACAACAATGTTGCTGACACAGCAATAGAGCTGGCACAACAATGTAGTTGACACAGCAGTGTGGCTGACAACAGTGTAGCTGATGCAACAATGTGGCTGACACAACATTGTAGCTGACACAATATTGTAGCTGACACAACAATATGTCTGACACAACAATGTAGCCGACATAACAATGTAGCTGACACATAGCTGTCTCAACAATGTAGCTGACACAACAATGTGTCTGACATGACAATGTAGTTGACAACAATGTAGCTGACACAACATTGTGGCTGACACGACAATGTAGCTGACAACATTGTAGCTGACACAACAATGTAGCTGACATAACAATGGCGACACACTGACGTAGCATGCATAGTGAACTGTTTCCATGCCTTAGGGATCTGATGAGTGCTTTGATGCTAGTGACATCTAGCTGCTGGCAGAAACAAAGTTCAGTCAATGAGTGGTAAACCCTGTGAAGTTGTAATGACTGTCAACTACGGTCAGGTTACAGGCTTCTCTATCATCCTGGATGTGGATTAGTTATGAATCATTTTGAAGCTGTTCAGCAGGATGCAGATTGGGTATAAGGTTTCAGGACAGACTCTCTGGTTCCAGTTCAGAAGGGAGGGAGGATCAGTCTTCAAATCTCACATTGACCCTGTATCCTTGAAAGGCTTAGATATTGATCTGTTTGATCTTTGTTGCAGATGATATTCAGTTTTTCTTCCTGTTGTGATGTGTAGGAAAATCAAATTATGAAGTTAGACACAAATAAGTAAGACAGACACACTGAATGCCTCCCTAGTGAGAAGACACCTGGTTTTCCTGATTTAACTGTGGCTTTCATATCGATGTTGTTACATCACAGCCAATCAATATTTAGATAATCTGTTAAAACAGCTGTGAAGATGAGGAACTCTTGTGATCAGACAAGCAACCATTTATGAATATTATGTTGAAAGATATATGTATAAGTCAACATTGTCACACAATGATAAATCTAGTCAAAATTACAATTACAGCTAACATTCACTGACAAATAACATTTTTAGTATATTTAAGTACGAAAAAAATTCATTCTCAGTTAAACCTAGCTCCTGTACAATATCCCTGCTCTTTACAATGTACATGATGGCTTGATGAACCAAGACCTGTACAATATCCCTGCTTTATACAATGTACACGATGGCTAGATGAACCAAGACCTGTACAATATCCCTGCTCTTTACAATGTACATAATGGCTTGATGAACCGAGACGTACAATATCCCTTCTCTATACAATGTACATGATGGCTTGATGAACCAAGACCTGTACAATACCCCTGCTCTATACAATGTACATAATGGCTTGATGAACCGAGACGTACAATATCCCTTCTCTATACAATGTACATGATGGCTTGATGAACCAAGACCTGTACAATATCCCTATTGTATACAATGTACATAATGGCCTGATGAACCAAGACCTGTACAATATCCCTTCTCTATACAATGTACATAATGGCTTGATGAACCAAGACCTGTACAATATCCCTGCTCTATACAATGTACATAATGGCTTGATGAACCAAGACCTGTACAATATCCCTGCTCTATACAATGTACATAATGGCTTGATGAACCAAGACCTGTACAATATCCCTGCTCTTTACAA